CGGCACCTGGCACAGTTCGGCTGGCAAGCAACTCAGGCTGTCAGAAGCGCTCGCACCTCAGCCACGAAGGCAGCTGACTCCTCTGCAACATGGATGGCTGCAGCATCCGCTGCAGTAGCCTGCCGATTGCGGGTGCCAATCAGCCGGACCGCAGCAGCTCGGGCTCTTTTCCGGCCCTCCAATCTGCCAAGCCAGGCACTTGATTGAACATCGTACCTGGCTGCCATGTTCATGACTGTGGGGAGCTTCTCCTGGCTCTGGCGCTTAGCGGAAGCACCAGCGAGGCTCCAATCCGACGGTTCCGGTTCATGGCCTCTGATATTGTGTTTCCCGACAACTGGCACGAAGCCACATGAAACGCTCTGTCGGCGCGACATTTGTCACATTGACGATGAAGATGAGGAGGATGAAGAATAAAATGATGATGATGATGATGGTGACGATGATGATTCGACGATGATGATGGCAATGACGATGGCGATGGCGATGAGGATGGTGATGACGACGACGACGATGATGATGATGATGATGATGATGCTGATGCTGATGATGACAGCACTCAAGTTCCCCAATGTTACTCAGTCTGTCATGTTTTGCGCGGCGGGTGGACAGGTAAACTGGCGCTCCGCATGATTCCAGACATGAGGGTTCTGTGCAAATCTGGTTGTCTCGGCGGTGACTTTCCAGGACTTGACATGCTTCGTCTGTACAAGTAGCAGACGTGACCCATTCTCGAGACTTTCCACTGGGCTCTCTCGAGATGAAAGCGGGTGGGATGCCAAAAGACCTAAGCAACGGTTTGCAAATCATCAAGACATTGACGATCCACGGAATGTAAACCCAAGCATCTCGGCGAAAACTTCAGTTTCGATTGATTGAGTATGAGCTCGATTTGAACCCTCCGATCCGCGACGATGAAGACTGTTTCCACACTTAGTCCAAGCTTTGCCTCTCCCAGGTTGCCTCCATTAGCCACCGCACCATGTACCTACAGGTCTTTCGCATGAGTTTAGCAGGCATTTAATCGCAAAGCCCAAGTTCGGCTTCGGCCCCCGACTCAACAATGTACTTCTTGGCGAGTCCCAGGGCAGAAAGAAGCAAGGTCAGAGGCGGATTGTCAATCTTCGCGACATGAACCTGTCTTGTCTTACATTCCGCGCCAGGTCCATAGCACAAACGGCACACTCAGGCAATCGAAACTGTCTGGAGCAGATCTGAGACTCCTGCCGGGTTCTTGCCCGGGCTTCCCCAAATTCCAACACCTTTCTCCTCGATTGACGTCGCATTTCGTCGCACTTCAACTCCAAGTCCCTCCGACAATCTGAGAATCCTTAGGGTTCCGAGGGTCCGGCCCGTGTCCATGACCCAGCAGGCGGGGAAGCGGAGGTGCCACCTCTCTGGCTGAAGTCCCACCTTGCTCCAGTCACTTCCGAGACGCATCTACTCATCTCTTCTGTGAGCCAGGCCCAATTTTGTGGTCTGCAACCTCCTCGGTGACGTCTTCCGCAGACCATAGTCGTTCCAGCCTCGGCGACTTCCCAGCCAGGCGAGGAGCTGCCTTTTCGCCTCTTCCGGCCCCCGAGGCTCTGGCAGCATGCGGTCATTCGCCTCCGCCGGAGAGGGGAAAAACGTGCAATGAGGCAGTTCGCTTCTGCGACATGAGGCATGTCACAAGCACAGGACATGTCCAGCAAGGCCTCGTCACTGTCTTCATCGTCATCGCCATCTTCTTTCCAAGACAGCTTCCTCGGATCAGGCAGAATCCAGTCATTCGGTGTTTTTGACAGCAGCGCACCTTCACCCTCTAGATCGTTGTCACTGTGCCAAGATAACAAAGTCCAGCAGCCAGCATGGGCCGTCTTGGTCCTCCTCACTTCCGCGATAAAGCAGCACCTGGCCGGGCTGCCCAAGTTGCGAGCTACCAAGCGCTCAGCAGAGAGGCCTGATTGCTGTTCAGGAACTTCGGGGATCCCCTGAAGACACCGGCGGCCTGCAAGCGGAAAGGGGATAGCAGGATGTGAGCTCTCGAATCTCGAAACCCCAAGACTGCCCGAGGTGCAGTTGCTCGTTTGGCATCGAGTCTTCTCTGCTCAGGTGCCTGGTCTTTGTGGACATGCCTGAAGTCTGAGACGAATGATGCATTGAGCAAAGACGGCAGAAAGTCCTGGAAATAACGAGAGATCATGGCTGTTCATAGCTCACACCCGAGAAGGCACGCAGCCATCTTGCTCAAATTGGCTGGCAGCTATCAGATGCTTTGCAGCTGGGAAAATTGGCTGACAGCCGGGAAAAGCAAGCGGCGGCCTCATGCGGCTGGGTGGCTTTGTTGCACCACATTCGTCGCAAACAAGTCCGAAACGGCTCCAATCCCGGACCCACTGCTGGCACTTCCGGCAGTGGCATCAAAGGTCGCTTCGGCTGTGCACAGCGACCTTCCGGTTGAGCTGATGCCCCTTTATGCTCCCCCAACTCCCCTTGCCAGTCCCTGCCTGAGGAACATGCACGAACTCCTTTGGAACGTCCTTGTGTAATCATGAAGCAGCTGTCGGCCGTGGCAACATCAACTGTTCGTGAAACCGTACACATGCTGTAGTCTCTGTTGAGCTCTGAACTGCAGTCATAACAGGCCAGGCGGCATCGAACTGCACGAAGAGGTGACCGTACTTCTTCACCTGCTCGCAAGAAGCATCTGCAAGGACTTCTGCAGGAAAGCAAGCGGGCATCTATGGTACTGCCAAGTGGCAAGATCAAAGTAGAGCTCTGCCTGGAGGCATGCTTGGCTGTGCCACGGATACTCGCGAAGTTGACACGACTACTGGCCTCCTTGCCCTTCCACTTTGAGAGCTGCAGCTCCAGAGTGTCCGTGTCAAGCATGGACTCGTTGTACAATCGGTAGAAGGTCTCCAAGTACTCCCCTTGGTGCAAAGTTGGACAGGTATCATGTGCTCAAGAGCGCCCAGCGTGTGGAAACCCTCTGCGCTCAGCATAGAGCGATGCTTCTTGCCTGCCTGGACTTTCAGTTTCAGAGAGTAGCTTTGTCTCTTGAGCTCGTTGGTGAAAGCACTCTCAAGCAGGGGGCCTCATCCTCGGGCACGCAGTGGCATGAATCTTGCTGAGAGGCTTTATGAAAGCCTCAACATGGGTCTGTTGGCGAGGCAACCCAGGCATATCCCACGCTGCACAAGCTCCCGGCCTGATCCAAAGACTTTGGTCATTGACGAGAACGAGTGTGCCTGCCAGCCAGAGGCACAGAGTGCTTGACGGGGCGCACTGAAGATCACTGAAGCTCCTATACTGCCGTGACGCATCCCCGCAGTAGCGGCCATGTTTTGCGGTCACTCGTCTGGTTCCTCTCGTATGCCCGGCCTGTTTTTGGCACTCCTGATGCTCACCAGATAGTGGGCTCTGACAAACCTCAAAGCTCGCAGCTAGGGCAGTCGCTGCTCCAGGCAGCGAACAGGTGCATTCCATCAGGAGCCGACTTCCTGCATGCACTTGGAAAACTGATCCTGGCGGCAGGTTTGGACCTAGCGTCTCATCCATTTCTAGATCATCTTTTCTAGATGGAATGTCACTCGCCAACGTCCTCGCAGAAGTCGTGCGAGGTTCCGCATACGGAAAAGCAGACATCGTGGCCTTGTCCGGCTGCAGGTGCACGTTCACACACTGCTGCGTTGAGAAGACTGCACATCTGCTAACTTCGGCGGGCGGGTGAATACAGGCAAATCTGGGCTCCTGCATTGTGGGCAGCACCTTGTGCTTGGCCTCTGACCGTTGCAGCAACGAAACAGCCCATGTGGCTCCTCAAGTCAAAGTCTGAAAAGCGAGGCATTGAGAGAACTCACAGCTGACAACTGCCCAGCGGGCCTTTATCACCAGGCCCTGTGGACCGCAACCGTTGGCCATCATGCGGGAGTGCTGGTCCTGCTCTGCATTTCAAGGAATCTTCGAAGGATCCCTGAAAGCCGCATAACTTAACCCTGGCCCTGTCCAAGCAGACGGGTGGGTGCAACAGACAAGCCGAGTTCAACACGAGGTGCGATCCGACCGGTCCAGCTTCGGGACGGGAGACTGGCCGGCAGGGCAGGCATCTGCACGTGCGGCACCTGCAAACTGAAACCAGGGGTCTCTTCTGCTTTCTGGTCTTGCCCTCTGAAAGCTGCGCGCCAGCTGCTCGTGATCGGAACGAGAAAACTTAATCCGGACCTTTGCCACCCTTGCCAGTGTTTTGCATCGCACCCAAGCCTCCCAGCTTGGAGGCTCGATGCTCGGAAGTCGGAACGCATCTGTGACCAACTCAACTCCATTCTAGCTCACCACCTTCGAAAAGCGTGCCCAGATCAAGATCGGGCTGCTGCGCCACGGCACCTGTCATGTACAACATGGCATCATAACTATAGTAGTCAGTGACGGGGTTGGCAAGCTGTCCAAGTGAAGGTTGCCAAGAACCAGGAAACGGACAAGCTTGGATGCAACAGCAGGGCTGATTCCGATAGTCTGGTGCAGGGTGTTGAATCAGACCTTCAGCTTCACAGGTGCAATTGCCTCTGAACCACAACCACGCACCGAGCGCGCAAAGCCGCGCCATGCTAAGATGGCTCGTGCGCTGGCACTGGCAGCTGTTCACGTCGCTGTGTCCACTGCAATGCATGCTCTCATGTATGTACCATGTCTCCCGCTCCACTACTGGCAAAGCCCGCTCCTACTGCTGTCAATTGCATTCTGGGGTCTTGAGTCTCGCTGTTGTGGTTCTGCTGCTGACCGCAATCTGGTCCGGTCCTTCTTTGCAGCCATAGTCGGCTTATCAAGAGAATGCTGCAATGTGAAGATCAGCTGCGGTGCCGAAGATCCACGCCGTCAGCAACGCCGCTGAGCAAGGCAGAGCGAGCAAGACGGCCACGCGCCGTGTAAATGCCGTTGAGCAAGGCGGCACTCGCTGGCTCGGCATCTTCGGGAGCCGTCACCTCAGCTGAGGGCCGCCCATGGCCGCCCCCTGCCGCACGAATCATGCCATGGCACTTGAAAGTGTGGCGTTCCTGACAGCCCATCCCAATCCGCTTCATCCACCTGTGCCGCCACTCTTCGCCTTCTGCAGGGCGATGAACAGCAGCGCGCCTGGCCAGTGTAAAGGAGCCGGAGGAAGAAGAGGAGGTCTGCACGGGTCCTCAGTCTCACGACACGGTTATTATATGGCGAGCGCCAAGATCCTGCATCTAAACAATGTTCGAGGTCTGTGTGGCCCTTTAGGCTGCGAACACATCCGACAGCTCGATCGTCTTGGTCCGACCTTGCTCTCAGGAACTGGCACCATGGAAATTTGAGCGGGGCAGTCGACCTGCGCGGCAGCATGAAGCTAAGCAACTGGCCTTCTGACATCTCCGTGGTGAGCATCTGTCCGAGATTCACAAGGCTTGCAACATCGATGGAGAGGTGTCATTTGAAAGTGATCTAGCAGCTAATTTCAGGTGCGCAACTGCAGCTCCCCTGCTCACCTCTACGGGTTCGTGACTGCAAGCCCCACACCGCCCAAACTACCAGGCGGGTAGCCATCCCCGAAGTGCGACAGGACTCCGACATGGCCTGTCGAAACGGCTGTGAGACTGCTCGAAGCACGGCCGAGTGGGCAGTAGCTGCTCCATCCTGCCACAACGAGGTGTCGACAATCACAAAAACTTGTGGCATGTTCGCTGTATCGAATCCGCAGCTGCTAGGCACCTTCGTCTGGAAGCGAACGTCCTGCGACGTGCACGACTGGAAATAAACAGGTTCTCCGCGACCCTGCGCGCTGATCCAAGAGCTGCTCCAACTCAAGCGGGTTGCCCCGAGCACAATGCAAACATCTAGCATGCGCAAGCAAACCAGTCTTGCTGGTGGTGACGGTGGGACACAAGCTATGATTCGATCACTCGTGTCTCAATCCTTGCTCTCTTCGTCGCCGAAGAGCAACTGCACGACAGAAGGGGTGAGTTCGGTCCCTCACCCACTTGAGAGTCGACTGCTAGTCTACCGAAGCCAACAGCTTGAGGAACTGGTCGCTATTTGTCGCCGGTCGAGTCCAGACTACTCGTCCCCGCAGAGTTTGAAGTTGGCAAACTACGCATGTTCCCAGCACCGCCCATGGCAAGGGTTCGGCAATATGCCTCAAACCCTCTCGGAAGTCCAAACATTGAAAACAAAGCTTGGAACAGGAAGCCCTGCAGCTTGGAAAATGACGGATCTCACATCGCCAGCCAAGCCGAGTTTCTGCGCGGAACCCCAAGCCGGTAAAGTCCCAAACCTTCCCAGGATCCATTGTAAAAACCCTGAAACTCTGCATCCAATGCCCGCTTTCGACCCGCATCTGATACTGTCAATTGCTGAGAGTCGTAGAATGCCATCTGGAGCGGTCGTTGATTCGGTTCGGGTGCGCTCGCTATATGTTCCAAAAACCAAGGCTGTGACCCCGTGCGCGCTCGCGCTCCTCGCCTCACCGAAGTTGAGATAGCTCGTTCGCACACAGGAGTACCTTGACCATTGCACTCGAGTCTGTTTCCACTCTCATGCTGCAAACCTCGATGCTGTCCTGTGGTTCTTTTTTCGACAAGCCGCAAATCCATGCATGCCAACTTTTGTTGGCTTCGCAGACACGACTCGTATGCACAACATCGCAGATGCTGGCCAAATAAACTTCTCGACAATCTTGACAATGCCGTGGCTGGAGCTGTGTTGTCACGACAATCTGCCGTGTAGCTTGTGATACCCTGGGAAATCCCTGGGATAAGTGGAGATGCTCAACTGCTCGCCGCCATGTGAATTCGAGCTCGTGCACCCGGAGCAGCCGGCCACTATCGGGATGCTCCGGCATAGACGTCTAGCTACTGCTCAGTGGCTGTGGAACTTCGCGACAAGTCCTCTTTACAGCAGGCTGCAAGTTCGACGAGCTTTGGCAAAGGCAATTCACACAACAGCGGCGACCTCGCTGCAAGAGCGCTTGCTCGAGAACACTCTACCATTCCTCTCCTGCACATCTACCACCAGCCTTTCTGCTTTCCCACTGTCAACGTCCGCTGTGGATGGAAGCCTAAGCAACATGATTTGTCGCAGAAGGTTGACCCATTTTCCCCAAGGCTGTCAAACCTCTGAGAATCTCACGCGCATTCTGCTCTTGAAGGCTCAGCTGCTGCTGCCCAGCTGCACTCCGAAGACTCCGGCGCAGCACTGCCTAGCGCGGGTGTGGAGAGCTGCTGCATACATCTGACCATACAGAGCTTGGTTGCGTCTGTGTGATGCAGACAGTTTCCATGCGGCCGGAGTCACTCCTATCCCCAACCACATGCCACTACATGAACAGAAGGCCGTCAAGTGATATTGCAATCCCATTTCAGGTGAAACGGCACCATTTCAAGCGTTGGATCAGCGTGCCAAGCAAATTCTGTGTGTGAGCAGGCTTGACTGCTATGTTTTAATATATCCCTTCTAGGACCCTGTCCTAGACAATACGATTCGAGAGTTGATGGCTTGGCAATGTGAAACAGGGGCTGGTCGCACACAACCCAGATCCAGGTAACACGCACTACGTGGAAAACCTTGGCTGCAGATCCACTTGCCGAGTGCCAATCTACTCGACGAAATGACTCTCCCTGCCGATGCAGGCAAAACCCTTAGCCTCAGCGTTGCTCTGTCCTTGACAGCTCAACTCCTGCGGATCACTCCCTGCTCTACGCTGCGGTCATAGGGTTCCACAGGCTGAAACGTGCTCAAGCAACTTTGCTTCTCAGCAGTTCAAGCAGATATGCCAAGGTCGTGCAAGTCAGGCTCTGTTCGACGACGCTTTGCATGCGATGAACAGTTTTGGACTGGGGGGTTCGGATCTTGATATGCTGCAAACACCAAGTACCTTGGCGACTTGGCAGGTTTGAATCGTCATGGTGACACTTCGACGACGAAGTCTCGCAATTGTCCTCGTCTGCTGCAGCAGTTCAGCCCATCTGCGAAACGCATGGTTCTGTGTCACAAATATTTGTTCGGAATTCCGTCTGACAAGTTTTGGCGCAAAGTATGCACTTTCGAAAGTTGTATACTTAAGTCTGGGGTATTGCAGCAACGAGTAACCTCACTTGATTCTCCACATTGATCTACTGAACCATTACGAATTGAAAGCCCCGGAATGCTGGATTCTTCGCAGTTCCGGCCTCAGCCTCCGCCATTTCGTAATGCAGTTGTTGTCTGAAACCTTGCCCTTGCCGCACCTTTCAGGGAGCACCGAAGGGTGCAGTCCACCAGCTGAGGCATGTCTGTGCCTTGCGACCCAGCAGATTCCTGGCCTGTCAGGATAGGTTTGGCAAGGGAATTCAACAAGGCGCTTTGGAAAGGTATCCTAACCCATCATGTGTTCTGCCGTTGTGGGCCCGCACAGACTGAACGTCTCCGCAACTGGTCAGTTAGGCAAAGACAGCGGAGAACTGGTCTGCTGCCGCTGTTGCTGCCACAACGTGCACCAAAGCAAGGAACGACAACTGGGGATCGCTCATGACGACGACGATGACTAGGACCGGAGGATCAGCATGATGACTCGGATGAGGATGCAAATGATCATGCCGATGGTGATGGTGATGGTCGCGGTGACGATGGTGATGGCGATGTTGATGATCATGATGACGATGACGATGATGATGATGATGATGACGTTGATGTTGATGTTGATGATGATGACGTTGATGTTGATGTTGATGGTGATGATGATGACGACGACGATGATGATGATGGTGGTGGTGACGATGATGATGATGGTGGTGACGATTGTGGTGTTGGTGATGATGCTGGTGATGGTGATGATTGTGGTGGTGGCGATGAAGATGATGATGATGAGGAGGAGAATGGGGTTGATGAGGATGAGGATGATGATGACGAGGAGGGTGATGATGATGACGACGACGATGATGATGACGATGATGTTGATTATGATGGCGATGGTGATGGTGGTGATGATGATGATGTTCCGTGGTCGTCACCATCTTCCTTATCTTACCATACCAATCGTCATTGCCATCGCAATCACACCAGGCAAGAGTACAAGCTGTCAAGCGCCAGCACAGCCTGCACAATCTTCTCCACTTGTTCCTTCGGCATGGGCCTGCCTGACTCAGCGAATCAAATGAATGGACATGGTAACCGCAACAGAACCAATAAATAATAGCCTTACCGAGCATCACAAAACCGACTCTTGGATAGCACCAGCACTACTGATGCTTTCACAACGTGTATGTGCACTGCTTCAGCACGCTACTTGCAGCTTCAGTCATCCAACAGCAGCAGTAGCAGTAGCAGTGGCAGTAGCAGTGGGCAGTAGTAGCCGTAGTCGTCGTCGTCGTAGTAGCAGTAGCAGTAGCACTAGCAGTAGAAGAGGCAGTAGCAGTAGCAGTAGCAGAGGCAGTAGCAGTAGCAGTAAGAGTAGGAGTAGGAGTAGGAGTAGGAGTAGGAGGAGTAGGAGTAGGAGTAGTAGTAGTAGTAGTAGTAGTGGTGGCAGTAGTAGTAGTGGTAGTAGTGGTAGTAGTAGTAGCAGCAGCAGGAGTAGTAGTAGTAGTAGCAGCAGCAGCAGCAGCAGCAGTA